CCCTACTGTAAAAGCACTTTAGTACTTCGATATACCGACAGTCTACTTGGCACCACTGAAGGGACTGCAGCACCGCCCAAATTTCGACGGAATCAAAGGCTCTCTCATAGTCCACATACGACAGACATAGTGGCAAGTTGTACTCCTCGGACTTCTGTACAATTTGCCGAAGGGTATGTATGTGGTCTATGGTGCTAAAACCCTTTCGGAAACCGGCTTTTCGGGAGGCTGGAAGTTGTCAAGTCTGCGCGCGAGACGATTCGTGATGACTCTCGAAAACAGCACGTAGATGCGGCTTAGAAGGGAAATCGGTCTGTAGTTCTTAAGAGAGCGTTGTCACCTTTATCGAAGAACAAGACCACCGTACTTCTGCTCCACGCCTCCGGTGTAATTCCACCATGGAGGACGGAATTAAAGAACTTCTGAAGAACTTTAAGTACCAGTTTGCCACCCGCTTTAAGAACTTCCGATGTAATTCCATCCTTGCCTGGGGCCTTGCCGTTTTTAAGGTGCTGGAGAGCCATTCTAATCTTGCTCAGACTGACGTCCGAGATATCATCGGAATAGTGTCGGATAAGACTCGCTCTTGGATCGTTACTCACACTTGCGTGTGGCTCCAACGATGACGTGTACAGCTGTCCATAGAACCTCTCAATCTCACTCAAAATCTCAGGTGTCCCGGAAACAGCGCTGCCACACTCGGTCTTCAGCTTCGATAGTAGACTCTTTCCGGCAGACAGATCTCTAGCAAAGACTTTGGATCCCTGGTTCCGCTCCATCGCTTCTTCTATACGAGCAGTATTAAAGTTGCGCAAGTCCCGCCGCATGCATTTGGAGATCTGTCTGTTCAGTTGCCTGTATGCTGTCAAATTTACCGAGGACTGCAGCTTCATATTCCGTCTAACAGCCATGAGATTAAGAGTGTCATCGGAGAGTTTTGTGTTCTTCTGCGGCGGGTCTTGCAGAATTTAACTCCGACCACATAGACAGTTTCCACGAGCTTGTCATTCATATTGTCCACTTCATTTCAATCTTCTAGGCACTGAAATTATTTTGTACTCGTAACTCGAGCTGAAGCTAACTCGGGGCTTTGAATTAGAGCACGAGGGGGACGGAGCGTTGACTTCATTAGACGAGAACTCTCCAACTTAACGTTTAGGTTCAGTGTGCCTATCACCATTCGGTGATCGCTGCCCCTTTTCGCCCTCGCAATCACTGAGACATCACTGAACTGTTGTCGTATGGTCGTAATGAAGGCAATCTTATTTTTTGTCGAACCGTCGGGGCTCGATCAGGTCCATTTTCTATGAGGCCGCTTCTGGAAGAAAGAGTTCATCATAAAGGCCAGCTGCTGGCCCCTTCGGTTCCGTTGCCCTATTGCGAATTTCCCTACTTTCAGCCCACCGTTCTCTCTTGTGCCTAGTTTTGCGTTGAAGTCTCCCATTAACACCGTATAGTGGGTTTTGGAGGAATGCATGGCTCTAGAGATATCCTCATACATTTCCTCCACTTCCTCATCGAGGTGTGCCGAGGTTGGTGCTTAAACCTGTATGACCTTCAGCGAATACCGTTTGGTGAATCTAAGTATAAGGTACGCAACCCTCGTCGACACACTCCCAACCTTTACAACGTTGTTAACGAGACACTTGTGGACGATAAATCTGACACCTCCTTGGGACAGATGGTCGCCCTCCCGGTGATAGAACAACTTGCCGGATTCGGGGATTACCGTGTCCTCACCCTCTCTTCGGAACTCGGATAGTCCTATAATATTCCAGCACAACTTGTCTATCTCTTCTTCCAGCTTCAGGATCTTCTCGTCAGTCTTCAGGGTGCGTGCGTTATAAGTTGCCAGGTCGAGTCGTCATAGGTGACAACCGAACCTCCACCGAAGATTCTTAGCACCCCTCAATAACCATAACAATAAAAAACTTTTCTAAGCGATGCATGGCAAAAAAAATATGTTTCAGCTGTTGCTACACTTACTGGTAACGTGTGGCAAATATGTGGACAAATACCCAGACGTGGAACAAAGATTTGTTAGTCACATAAATATTTGTCCCATATCCCGTACAAAACAGTAATGCTATAATAATTAAATTCAATCCCGGCCCTTATTTCTAATTCTGGGATTCCGGGAATGTACATGCACTATCTTGGGATGCCCGGGATATTTTAATGATAATTAGAACTCATTTAAGAACAAGTTTTTCTTTGGAATAGTCTTTCATGAATACCTTTAAACAGAAAAAGAAACCTATAGTGTCTACTACAACATAAACAACTCTTTTCAGAACTACAGGGGCACTTTAATTTCTACAAATTTATTGAAAAACAATAAAAAAAGTTTCTTTACATAACTTCTGTTAAGCGGCATAAACAAACTAAAATCAGCTGTGAGAACAAGATGGCTGACAAAGTCACAGTGTTCATATTTTCTAAATATAACTGACCTGAGGACCCGAGTCTATAAAATATACATAAAAAGACATTAGTCATTGGAAAACCCCGACGCCGTCGATGTTTTCCAATATAATAGCTATTACACTTAATTACGCAAACGTAGTCGTGAAATGCCGAAGCGCAAATACTTTGAGCCAAGCGTAAGTTAATTTGACCATAGAAAGCTTTCCGCGGAGAAATATTATAAAATTTCATTTGCTATGTAATTAAATTCTTGATTAAGTGGTTCTTCTATGTTATATAAATTGGTATTATTAATTTATTCACTAATGAAATTATTTTTACTTATGTATCTACAATATCGTGGAGACATTTTTCGAACCCTGCTAGCACCAATGATATTGTTAATTGCAATTTTAAGTGCTGACTTAGTTCATGCGAATGACTCCACCGAAGTGATAGAAAATATCGTGAGAAAACCTGCATGACTAAGAAATAATAATAATAATAAGTTATAATTTAAAAAAAAACTAAAGAATGACGCTAAAGATAAATTTATTTCATTTAATTATTGTATTGTCAAAGGTTCTTTTTCAAGTCATTTCATTTTCAAGTCAATCGGTCGTCTACAAGTTGGTGTAAATTACATTAAAAGATTTAGTTACATATATAGATAAACGCGAAACTAATTAATAAAAAAAAACAAGCGCGTTAAAAGTCGCATTGGGGCAGTGTGGTGGACTTTTCCCTCCTGCAAAACCCTCTGAGATATGAGAGGCGCTCAACATTTAGTCGTATATAGACTATTAAACTGTACTGTAAAATGTATAATGAGCCGCATTTTGTGAGAAAGGTTTGAAATTGGTTTTCTAATGAAAGAGAAAGACAATAAAAACTGTTCGTTGTTGTAAACACCACCAAAAAGAAGACTTAATACTAAAGGAAATTAAGCAATAGTGAAAAATGAATATTTTTATACGTGGTAGAGCCATGCTGCAGCTATATTAGTTGTATACTTGTAGCACGAATGGGTCGGCTCGACCGGGGAAGGACCACGCTCTCACAGAAAACCAGAGTAAAATAGCAGCATAACGCTGCTGTGTTTCGTATGGTGAGTGTAGAGAACCGAAGACCCTTTTTACTGGAAAAGAGGCTTTCCATCTTAGTCCTCACGGGTAACAACACATCTGCATTTTGATTCGCAAACGAGGATAGATGTAGACATCTATGAGCCACAGCATCCACTTACCATCAGGTAGACTGTGTGCTGGTTTGCCACCTTTATTCTATAAAAAAACTTACTTATTTTATTTTATTTATAAAGGTGACAGCGAGCACACAGTCCACCTGATGGCCCATGGATATTTACATATTATATCCTCGTGTGCAGAATCAAAAGGTATAGAGTAAGAAGGATTGCCTCGTTATCAATAAAAAGGGTATCCAGTTCTTTGCACTTATCATACGAAACACAGCAAATTATTTACATAAAATAATTATACACTATATTCGTAACTATCAAAGTAACTAAAAACTAAAATTATCAAATAGTCCTAATCCCCGCGCTATATTAGCGCTTTCGGCGATAAATAAGCCAGCTCTCTCACGTGGACACTTAATCTTGCGTGGTAGAGCCATGCTGCAGCTATATTAATAGCACAGTTGTAGCACGAATGAGTCGGCTCGACCGAGGAAGGACCACGCTCTCACAGAATACCAGCGTAAAATAGCAGCTTGTTTCGTATGGTGAGTGTAGAGAACCGGAGACCCTTTTTACTGGAAAAGAGGCGTTCTTAGTCCTCACGGCTGACAACGCATCTGCATTTTAATTCACAAACGAAGACTGATGAAGATGTCTATGGGCCACAGCAACCACTTACCATCAGCTGGACTGTGTGCTCGTTTGTCACCCTTATTCTATAAAAAAATAGACCTCACTGACCGATAGTTTCTACAGCAAATACCACAAGTACACAGTTATCTCTCAGATATATATGCAGATGTACCATATACTCAGTTCAATCATCTCTGATGCCATCCTAGCTCTAAACGATGTACCCCTGAGATGAGAGGTCGCCAAAGTGCACACGCATTCTGCCAATGTATCTAAACATTCCACAATGATTCTAAAATCGAGTAAGCATTTGTAGTCACGGATAATATCGTTTTGAGAACCGTAATGGGACAATCTAATGAAGAATCAGTGCTTTTCTTCCGTGAAACTTCGTAGAGCCCAGACGCACTACAACAAGAATACCGATGAGGTTGACAGATCCAATTCATTCAATTGTGTTTGACTTAAATAAAAAGGAAACAAATTGTCGCGATGTATATCCGTGTTTTGTTTTTCGGAGTATGTAGTTACAGTTGCTGCACCGAAATGCTATTTCAAACACGACCACAGTCTACAAACCGCAGACCGGTCTCTAATTGTAGAACGCAACCACAGATTGCAACGTTACCGCCGGCAGGTACCTACTGTATTCTCAATTGTTTTCTTTTACAATTTCGATGTGGTATTGCAGTGATGTTGTTATTGCAACCAACTGAATATATTTTGAAAATAAATCATTTAATAATAATAATAAACATTTCAGTGTCGTGTCCAGCTCCGCTCAAAAACAGGGATTTCGTGCTGCAGCGGTCCTGGCTCGATACAGGCGATGAGAAGATGATCTTAAACCACTCAGTATATCACAAGGACTACCCTCCCAGAAAGGGCTTTGTCAGGTGAGCGTTATGGGCTATTAAATTACTTAGTTATTTTTTGTATTTGATCAGAAATTACTGCTTCGAATGTGAATAGTTTTTAGACACATACATTTCGATTTTTTTATGAATGATATTTTTAAGATCGTGATACGTTAGGTAAAGGTGACGACTGAGTACAAAGTCCACCAGATTGTAACTAGATTCTGTGGCCCATAGACACCTATGTATATCTAGTTGTAACCTTTAAGGGCTTAGATGAGTGTCTCTTTATAAATAGAAAAGGTTTCAACTAACATACCTAATAATAACAAAGTAACAAATTTTTCCAACTGACTTCTAAAAGGAAGAGAGGCTTACAATTCGACGGCATCTTTTTTTATGTATGTACACCGATTACTCGAAGACGCCTGAACTGATTTGGAAAATTCTTTTCTTTTTTGTTTCAAAAGGTATACTTTCCAGGTTGACCCACTTAATCGAATTCGGTCGAGCGGTTTTAAAAAAAATCAACAACAAATTATATTTATATTGAAGCCGGTTGTACAAAATTTTTAATTTTACTACTTGTAATTCGGCTATTCCCCGTGTAGCGGTAACTTTTCTGCCGACTTCCAAAAAGGAGACGGTACTCAATTCGACTGCATGTTTTTTTTATGTGTGTTACCTATAACTTTGTACTGGGTGAGCCGATTTCGATGATTCTTTTTTTATATGAAAGCTGATAGTTCTCGTGTGGTCCCATATGAATTTGATCAAGGTCAGACCAACAGTTTTTGAGTTATTCTTAAATAGCTTATAATGAAGTCTGCTGTACAAATTTTTTAATTTTAAATTATTTTATGTATGTATACCGACTACTCGAATACGCTTGAACTGATTTGGAAAATGCTTTTTTTTTTGCAAAGTCTATACTTCCCAGATGGTCCCACTTAAATTTTGTCGAAATCCGTCGAGCGGTTTTATAAAAAAATCAACAACAAATTATATTTATATTGAAGTCGCTAATGTACAAAATTTTTAATTTTACCACTTGTAATACGGCTATTCCCCGTGTAGCGGTAAGTAACTTTTGTTAGTCAGAAAAATTAATTTGTAACTTAGTATACTAGTAGTTAATTATGTTAGAGTGTTATTTTTTTAGAACGTGTTCGTTTCCACCTCCAGCAGCTCTTTTGTGTAGTTGTTCCAATATAGCTATAGCGCGAATTCACCACGCAAAGCCAAGCTGCTAGTTGCTAAGTTAACACTTTAATGCCCACAATCTCTTCATAGAATTATGGTAAAGGAGAATGGGATTTTTGGGCCTGAAGTTAACTAATTGGTTTATACTTTAAAAAATTGGCCATATTTTTCTTAAGTAAAATACCAAAAAAAAACTCTTTTTACAATCTAGATTTCGAAAAAACAATCAAATAATAAATAAGTACTTTCGATTGTAATGTATTATTTATGGTAATAAATCGATTAGCATAAAGAATACACTAGTGAAATTCTCGTTTCTGAACGTTATCTTCCAATAGAGAATTTCTCATTTTGAGACTTGACAGTTCAAACTTCAAACTATTTACTTAAAAGGAAAAGACAGATTTTTGATTCGATTTGAAACTAGCGAAATATAATCAATTCTCGATTAAATTGAGCATTTTAATATCTATTTTCGATTATTTTTCTGTGTGTGCTAGAAAGAAAAAAAAATTGCGTACATATCTACAAAATAATTAATACAAAATATCAAAATTATTACAAGTAACAGTTAAAACAACAATTCAAGTAATCGATCTCAGATCGATATCTCTAATATTCACTTAGTTGTTGTTGTTTCAACTTACGTTAATCGTTTCACCATTTCGTTTCATTATTAATCACAGCTTTTTTGGTGATTTTATACTGATTCTGCTTTTATATCTTTAAGTAATTATATTGAAAAATAACCTGTTACAGCGTAATAACAGTGAAAAATAACCTGTTACAGTGTAGGTAATAGATAATCTCACTTTTACTTACAATAACTCAGCTCCTAGATTGACAAATCTTGCCAGATTTTCAGCTATGAATTGTTTATATATAAGCTTTCAAATGGTCCTACTTTCATCTTGTTAACACTTGGGCCCAAGAATGTATGGAGACGTCTCCTTCTCCTTTGATGAATGAGACGTTGGTGAGCTGTAGTAACTCAGAGACCAGGCGTTTGCCGTAAAATTTACAATACACGAGATTATCAAAGAAATTGTTAACTGTAGTACTTATTCCTCACTTGCTCGGCGGTGAAGGAACACGTTGTGAGAGAACTTATATGTCTGAGCAATAAAAGAAAATAAAGAAAATATGTGAAGTTTGTTAACAAGTACAGGAGCAGTGCATTTAGAGGACGAGGAGAGAGGAGGAGGAGAGGAGCATTCAGTAATGAAAGGAATCCTGTGTCCAAAAATGGGTCGCATAAATGCTCTAACATTACTTTACTCTCCTAGATAGGTGATTATTACCTTAATGTAGCCTTGTGCGTATGCATTAATGAAAAAGAAACCTTTCGCGATTATTCTTATTGCACTGTTTAAAGAATATACAGGCTGCAATAAATTTGAGGAACGATGAAGATGTTTCAAGCTAGAAATTTGAATAAAAATCTCCGAATTTTAACGATATATCCCTGTCGCGCTAAGCCCGAATGGTCCAGCTATGAAAAAAAAACAATTGCAGCTCGGACTGAGCACCACTAAAATTTACGAAATCATCATCCAGTGTTCCCCTATCTCTTATTTTTTTTGGAACAACAATATAAAGAGAATAATGGCTACTGTCTGTATGTTTATTTTCTTCTAGTTAATATATATATATATATATATATATATATATATATATATATATATATATATATATATATATATATATAATAAATATTAAATAAATTTGTTTGCTGGACGGCCGTACAACTAGGAAGTCTTAATAATTTTAAAACTGTTTTTAAAGTAATTGAAAACGATTTGTAACATGGCAATGGTAGATAAAGATTGTATTGTAGAAAAAATATTTTTTTTTTCAATTTATTATTCTGTCATTATCCAAGGAAAAATAACAGGAATACAAAATATGGAGAGAATATTTTTTTATTTTATTTAATTTTGAATATAAATAGGGAGAATTAGCATGGACTAAACGCCGCCTTAATATGCTCTTATAAAGCACTTTGAAATGTCAAATTAAATTTACTCATTAATCTTTCTTACAGCAATATAAATATAAAATGTACCTTACATTTAAAACTGCGTAAACGCTACTTTCAGCGTATCGATATCATTGATACACCGTTTAATATTTTCTAAAGTTTGATCGATGAAACTGCTTCATTTGTTCCGACCATATTCGTCCAATTTGCTGCCACTCCAGCGATTAGATAAAACAATGTGTGCGTCAGCCCGTGACGACCTTCGCGGCCACTCGGGCCGCGGCCGGTGCCGTCGCTGATTGATTTATTACCAGCTGCAATATTAGGGTTTATCCCTGTGCTTAGTTTAGTGATTGGACGGATTTGCGCATATTTTTTTTATACAAATTCAAACAAAGAACAGGTGCCACTTACCACCAGGTGGGATTGTGGTCAAGCACTGGCTTATAATAAGTAAAAAAAAAAGGTGCGGAGCTACCTCTGGGGTGGAATGCCTAACAACCTGTAATTATAATGCCTCTCAATATCCTGCACGAACATGAAGACGGCAATCCAAGCACTGCTATTTTTTATTATTATTTTTATTTATTTATTTAACAAATTATAGATAACACAGAGGATATATTATAGTGCAACATAAGCTTAATGAAAATTTTACCGTGTACCACAAGCCGCCGACAATAAAATTTGACAGATAAGCTACACCTTAATCTACAAAATATGTATGTATGTATAACGCAACACTACTAAACAGCAATTAGCAGAGTCAACAGGCGGTAAATCGGTAATACATAATTACCTAATAGTGCACTGAAAAGGCGTGAGTCTTGCCACCGCCCACTTCGTCGCGTCAAAAACCGGTCGTTCTTGTGTCGCATATACAGCCAGTGATAAAAATTTAGATTTGGCGCCAGGAATAGATAAGAGGGCATTACCTAACCAGACGGACTCCGCCAGGCAGAAAAGGAGCCCAACCACCTAGTTTTTTTTTTCTTTATATGATAGGGTGACAAACGAGCACACAGTCCACCTGATGGTAAGTGGTTACTGTGACCCATAGACATCTACATCTATCCTCAATAAAGACTCAAGATGCAGATGCGTTGTCACCCGTGAGGACTAAGATGGCCTCTTTGCCAGTAAAAAGGGTCTCCGGTTCTCTACACTCACCATACGAAACACAGCAACGTTAAGCTGCTATTTTACGCTGGTTTTCTGTGAGAGCGTGGTCCTTCCCCGGTCGAGCCGACCCATTCGTGCTACAAATATACTACTAATATAGCTGCAGCATGGCTCTACCACGTTGAAAACCTAGTGTTTAAAGTAGACAGTTTGTTTTTGTGTGGAGAATGGGCCCACCGCAAATTGTTGTGTAACTTAATGAAATGCATGCCGATTTATTCATTATAATCTATAGATTACAATAGTAATATTAGTTTAACCGCATCTAACGGGAATACTTTGCAATTAACAATTAAAATATGATTATCGCAATATTCTAAAAACAAACTATTTTTTTTAAATTGAATAAGGGTGACAAACGAGCACACAGTCCACCTGATGGTAAGTGGTTACTGTAGGCCATAGACATCTACATCTATCCTAGATTACGAATCAAAATGCAGATGCGTAGTCACCCGTGAGGACTAAAGAAGTCCAGTAAAAAAAGGGTCTCCCGTTCTCTACACTCACCATACGAAACACAGCGGCGTTATGCTACTATTTGACGCTGGTATTCTGTGAGAGCGTGGTCCTTTCCTGGTCGAGCCGACCCATTCGTGCTACAACTATACTACTAATAAAGCTGCAGCATGACTCTACCACGTACAAAATTATTCTATATTACATTAGCCAGAACACGAACATGAAAACAACTTTTTTCAGATTTCTTGATTCCGGCGAGAGTTTAATAAAATCTGTGGTCCGTTTACTATAGTAAAATGGTATCTTATTTTTATGTGTAACAAATACCTTTAAGTTGTGTAAAAATTTCTAGTGGGCCCAAAAACGATTGCCTGTCTTATAGCGATTTTAAAGTTTATCGTTTTATTTATTAGTTTACTATTATAGTAAACCTACTGGCACTTATATTCTTTAATTAGGAATGATGATAACACATTCATTGAAATTTTATTATATATAACTGTCAAATAAATTTGTCCGTACGACACGCGCGCCACCTACTGTAAGTTAATTGTACTATGCCGTAATCTCGTAATGTTGTATATAACCTTTGCGTAAGTGCAAGCATATTTTATGCGTGGTAGAGCCACGCTACAGCTATATTTTTATTTATGTTTATACAATGTTGTAGCACGAATGGGTTGGCTCGAACGGGGAAATTTCACGCTCTCACAGAATAGCAGCTTAAGGCCCGCTCTATACATACGGAATTCCGTTTCGAGATTCCGTTTCGGAATTTCGAACGGTCGGCCACACACAAACGGAATCCCGTTTTGCCCGCAAAATATCGAACGGAAAACTACCGTACGTGTGTGGCGGGTCATAGATTTTATATGGACTTGCTGCGTTCGGGATTCCGAATCGGAATATCGAAACGGAATCTCGAAACGGAATTCCGTATGTATGTGGCCGGCCTTATGCTGCTGTGTTTCGTTTGGTGAGTGCAGAGAACAGGAGACCTTTTTTACTGGAAAAGAGGCATTCCATCTTAGTCCACACGGCTGACAACACATCTGCATTTTATTCGAAAACGAGGATAGATGTAGATGTCTATGGACCACAGCAACCACTTACCACCAGGTGAACTGTGTGCTATCTAGTCATCCTTATCATATAAATAAAATAATTTAACAAAGTTTTAGCGCAATCTGATGAACGACATGGCAACGCATAAAATGCGAACAAACAAAAATATGTTTTTATATATTAGAAGATATAGTTAAAGTTACACCCACTGCTGGAAACAGGCCTTCTTCCATTTAGAAGAGGGTTCTGGAGCATTAAAGTATCCGCCACGCTGCCCTGGTGCATGTTGGCGGACTTCACATGTCTTTAAAATATAATTTCTAACTTTCCATACATGCAGATCGATTTATTTCAGACATAATACCTTTACAGTTATTGGTTACATTGGACGGTCCAATAAACAGAGCAATGACCTGAATAATATAGCGCTCCTGTATGACAAAATATTTACGGAGTTGAACTACTTTCAAGTACAGCGCATACTTATCCAAAACCTTTAATACATTCAGGATAAATCTTGTTCCTAGTATCGATTAAACACAAAATGAATTAATATTGCTTTTTCACAGGGCAGTGTCATTTTTGACCGGCTTTGTAGTACGAGTGAGACAAGGGAAAGGCAGCTGGCTGGGGTACGTGTCGCGATCTGATCCTCGTGGCGCATTGCCTGCTTGGCTTGTGAACAGGTTTGTTTTTCAGTCGTTTGTCTTTCCTATATTATACGCCACGACTTGATAAACAGTGATAATATGAGATGCATTTGGAGGCTGATTAGCACTGATTAACAATAAAATCTTAATAAATATTTGCGTATTTTTATTTTATTATAAAACATGCTTTAGTTATTAAATTAAATTCGCACATAATATCATTGTATTCTTAGCAAAAAAATAAAGAGGAAACTTGTGAAGATAGCTTTTCCTTGAATAAAACTACTTTTAAGGATTTTTTCGCTTTTAATTAACTTATTTATTTATTCAATGTGTCGCGTTCGCGTAAATATAAGAAATCATTATAACTTTTCCTCTTTTTAGAAACACTAGTAGTTTTAAAGTTATGTTTGACGAACCTATTTTTCTTATTTGTTTAACTGAATTGAAAAAAAATCGCAATGGAATTGATAGTGAGCGGGTACTGCACTCCATGGACACATACAACAAACTTTAAACAAAAATGGCTTCAGGTGCATTGTCATCTCTAAAGGACTAAGATGAAATTCCTCACAGCATCATTATACTGGCTCTTAATACCATACAGACTGGAACACAGCAGTGCCAGGCGGCAGACATAGGTAAGAGAGTGGCAGCTATCCAAATGGCTAACCATGCACAAAAGTAATTCTAACACTTTGTTTCCTTTTGTCAAATAATAAAAAAAAATTATGTCCTTCAGACAGAGTTTCGGTTACGGCTGCCAGTCTCAACGAAGACTAGCCATCTGCACAGGACAGAATTATAGTGCACGGTGTGTGCGCAAGCACAGATGCACTCTCTATTTCCTCACTCTCGTAGTCCGACGGAACAGTTATCCTACACGGAGAGAGATCAGGCGCAGCAACGGCTTTACGTGCTTTCCGAGGCACGGGAGCTAAACACTGCCAATTACCTGACTCCAGTCTGTTACTGAGAACTTCTTGAAAACCCAATAACTGATTTTGGCGAGACTCGGGATTTGAACCCAGAACTTCATGATCAGTAACCGCGTTTACAACCACTATACCAACAAGGCAGTCAGTAAAAATAAGAAAAAAAAGAAGTTTAAAAACAATTGTCTACTATTTTAAGAGCTGTAGCGGCAACGACGATGACGGTGAGGATTATAAAAATTGAAATAAAAATGTGTATGTGTGAATTTACACTGAAGACTTAGTGTTCTTTGAATATGCTTTTATTATAAAAGTAAGGGTGAGAAAAGAGCACACAGTCCATCTAAAGGTACTCGTAACTACATAATCTGCCCGTAGATACCTACATCTATCATTAATTGAGAGTCAAAATGCTGATACTTTGTCTTTGCCAGTCACCATACGCACATCGCAGTATTATACTGCTTTTTACGCTGGTATTCTGCGAGAGAGGTATGTAAGGATCGTGACACTTGGCGATCTGTTCTCTCTGGCTACCCCGTCAGGGATTGTGCGTGAAGATAAGTAAGTAAGTAAGTATTCTGCGAGAGGTTGGTCCTTCCTGGTCGAGCCGTCTAATTTGTATAATATATATGTGTATATAGTTCTTTTTGTTTGAATATGTATTTTTTTAGAGTGACTGCACAATTGGCACCACGTCTGGTGCACCAGCTACAAGCAGCAGCTCGTCGGTATCCCGGCTGGAAAGCGTTGACGGATTCACCCTACTATAAACCCTGGAGGCATCCTGAACAAGTCCCCTCTAAAAGGATCTCGCTGGAGGATGTAAGTTAAAGTCAGGAACATTTTTCATTGCAGCCCACTGTTGAATATAGGCCTCTTGACAAGCAGGTTGACATTAGCACTTTTAAATTATTATTATTTCTTATCCGGAAGTGTTGCTTACCATTTCGTATATTCATTTTTTACCGACTTCAAAAAGGAGACGGTACTCAATTCAACTGTATGTTTTTTTTCTTTTTTTGTATGTGTGTTACGTCATAAGCTTTTTCTGGGTAAACCAATTTCGATGATTCTTTTTTTATTTGAAAGATGGTGCTTTTCTTGTGGTCTCTTATAAATTTGACCAAGGTCTGACCAATGGTTTTTGAGTTATTCTTAATAATTTACATTGAAGTCGGTTGTACTAAATTTTAATTTTTAATTATTCTCTGTCATCTCTTACGGGATGATTCTCTAACGTCGCAAATATATTACTTGAAAGCGCTTTTTTAAATAATGTTAACCGCGCAACATAACTTAGTGCAAAAAGAATTCCATATCCGATGCAATTTCTAACCTATTAGAAGTATATTCACAAAACCTTCAGATCAGACCGTCAGATACTTTATTTCGGTTCCAAGCTTTATTGCGAAGGGATTCGATCCGGGATTTATTATATATCCTAATGAATTGATTCTCACTTTCAGACTCAATCTTAAATGTCATTTACTAATGAGTCTACCGCTGGGTGTTGGGCTGCATTGGCTCCTCACATAGCTTGTCATTGAGTATAGTTTTTAGCCACCTCATCAGGTTGCTTTCTATATCTGTTGGAGTATACTACAACATGTTCTTATAGCTATGCTATGCGTGAACCTTCTGTTTTTAGTTTTATGAGCAATATGATCATATCATTGCCACCCCAACTTGATCTCTTGCGGATATTACAATGTAAAATATGTATTTAAATATTAATAAGTAAAACTTTTACCAAATTCGTTAACTTTAATAAATTGGATACCCAGGCATCAAAAAGTATAAAAGATTGAGTTCTTTAAGTAAGGTTGTTAAAAGAAATTTGTTTTCACTTTTCAAACTTCTCACTGAAATTACTTTTGCTTTCGTAACAAATTCGTAAGTAACTCTACTCGATGAAATTTTTCGAAAGTAAAATGGATTATCCCGTCAGTAAGGGTCTCACTACGTGATATTAAAACTTTGTAATGGACATTGATTGAAAAGCACGTGCACCGAATTATTTTCTTTATTACGTAACAGTTATAAAGTACTCATAATATAATAAGTAATTATTATTATTTCTTATATTAAAATTAAAATCATCATCAATACAGCCCATCAAAGTACACTGGTGAACATAGGCCTAACCTAAGAATGCCTCATAGCTGTAGTATGCCCCATATTTGCCATAGCTTCCACGTTTGGCAGGCGGGTTGACAACCGCAGTTTTTTTATTTTCTAGTTGTTATTAGGAAGACCGTGCTGCCATCTTCTGGATTTTTCCCCTCTGTCACCTCTTAAGACACCCACTGTACGATATGGCATAATGGATATTCTTACATAGCCACTACATTGCAATTCATATAATTAATTTAAAAAAAAAAATCAAATATTTTCGTTTCTGTCGAACATCTCGTCAATACTTTACAGTTGATAAAATCTATCTAAAATGTTATTTTGATTAGTTTAATATTTTTTTTATAGAATAAGGGTGACAAACGAGCACACAGTCCACCTGATGGTAAGTGGTTGCTGCGGCCCATAGACATCTACATCTATCCTCTATTACAAATCAAAATTTAGATGCGTTGTCACCCGTGAGGACTAAGATGGAATGCCTCATTTCCAGTAAATAGGGCCTCCGGCCACCTGCACTTACCAAGCGAAACGCAGAGGTAAATCTCTACTACACGCTGGTTTTCTGTGAGGTCGTGGTACTACCCTGGTTCGAGCCGGCCCATCCGTGCGACAGCAAAAGCTGCCGCGTGGCTCTACCACTGTTAAAATTTTTTGTGAAAACAACACGAACACTCTCTAAAACAGAATGTACATCGGGCTCAGAAGGGAAATCGGTATGTAGCTTTTCAATAAGGTATTATGTTCAGCATGTGATGGAAAGGGTTCGGAATTTCTCTGTGGGATAAAATCCATAACGAGGATATTTGCAGAGTAACGAGAGTAATTGACATAGCCTAGCGGATCAGTAAGCCAAAGTGGCAATGGGCCGGCCATATATCTCGAAGAATACGGAGAATCTTTATTCCCCATTCTTCGTCGATTCTTCTAAACCTTTGTGTAAACTTCAGTTCAAGTCGTAATTTTTAAACAATTTTTTGTTCATTAAACCATTGTATACAATTTTGTATTGTACTTGTTCATTAAAACATTCATATTGAAGGCTTCATATTTCTTTATATTATATTATAGAAATTTCTGGATTAATATATCACTAACTATAACTTCATTCTTCATTATAGTGTATAGACCCCGATGCCCCGCCTCCCCCTCAAGAGCCTAAACCAAACACATCTAAGGTTAAACTTGAAGTGCCGCAACCTAAAGAAATAGAAAGCCATAGCATAGAAGATTTAGGAGACATATCATCTGAGTTTAGTGTGGAAGTAGAAGAAGAAACATTAGACCATGCACAGGATCCAACAAAGAAGAAAGGAAAATTCTATAGACTGGTAAAATCAATGAAAAATAGAAGAAAAAGCGTGCAAGTTGCCAAAAGTGCTGATAATTTAGATGATGCTAAACCTCCAGAGGAGAAGCAAGAGAAGAAGAAACCGTTCAAGTTCCACCGCAGATTTAGCTTAAGCAGAGGCAGGGAGGACTAAGTTAATATACATATTAAAATTACAATATACTTATGTAATTTGAATTTCTCTACTAGAAGTAATATAAGCTTGTTAGAGTTGTTGTCTGATTAGAAATTTGTAAAACTGAAACAAAAGGATAAAGTTTTATCATAAATAATTATTCATTTCTTATCAATGTTATATACAATAACTTACAAAATATTTATTTAAAAAAAAGCGAAATAACTTTTTTATATCGTTAATTTGTAAGATCTAGGTTCTCGATAACCTACAAAGTTAAAATTAATATAAAACTTTTGTATAATAATGAATTTATCTGTATTCGCAGATTTTTTATAAAACTGTTGAATTAAATACAAAAAGATGAAATAAAAAATAGAGAACACAAAATTGTTCAAACTTTTACTTGGAATTGTTTTACTTTATCAGGAAAAACGCAATCAAATACACTATAGATTACATAAATTCCACGATTGATCTTTTCATGTACATAATAGATTATGTTCTTTAGCTGCTTGGCGTGTAATTTCCTCGAGGCATTCAAGCGAGTACAGAAATAATAGCTAAATGCAGTTAAACAACTTCCTTATCACGCCTGAAAAGTATTTTGTTTAAATAGCTTTTCTTGTTTAATAGCTAATTTGACTAGAGGTTTTCGATATTTGTCAAGTGTGAAGTTTAACAAGATTAGTCTAATCGTATGGTCAAATAGGGACAGAAAGGAATAGAAAAAATTATAGGTCCAGCCCATACTCCTTTGTTTATTGTATGTCGTGTGCGAATTGAAAAATAAATCGTTCAATGTGATAGAGATTTTAGCCCGTTAGATGTTAACTGTTTAATATATTGTAGTTAACGAATGGAGTAATTGATTACATTAAATAATTTATTATTTGACCAAAACAGAGCTTTTGCTATTAAAGCCTATGAAAGTCCACTACACACATGTATTGCCGCATAGGGAGGATTTTGGCATAGTTGTCACGCTTGGTATGCGAGTAGACAACCGTTGATTTTTGTTATTTTGATTTGTTATCTGTAAGATGATGCTGCCCATCTTCTGTTTTAGTTTCCCTCTGTCGCCTCTTACGACGATATAGGATAGTGGAACCTTTTTACACCGCCACTACATGGTTGTAAAAAAAAAAACTAAATGAATAGATGGATGAACTACATATGATGAACTAAATAAAAATAAATATGTAGATGGATGAAATGTTAATTAAAAATATATTATCGTATATAAATCTAATATATCCTCAATGAGGTATTTATTAAGGAGTTTTTATTATAAAGTTTGTGTGAGAGAATTTCAGTATAATTAGGACTATGTCCCTAGTGGAGAATTGTTGTTGAAAAAAGATTAAAAAGCTCGATTAAGATATTGTGAAAACCATATTGTAGGACTATAATATGGCATTGATTTGTAGGGATGCTGGAGAGCTAATTTTTAATTCTTTTTAAATTTACTTAGCGGTTGTTTAAAAAAAACACTTTTGTACAAAACTTTAAAATAATAATTATATATAAAATTTAAAATAATAACAATTAAAATAATATATATATATATATATATATATATATATATATATATATATTATAACTAAGATCATTTATATTAAAATGATAACAACAGCAAAATAGAAAAAAAGAAATGGAAATTATATCGAACTCATTTGTGTACTTAATCTTCCTTGAAATTAAATAAAACTTACTGTGTTAATAATAAATTTAACAATATTTATAGCACCATTTGTCGGAAGCCGTGGGATCTTTCTGATATTTCTCATAATCTTATTATTATATTCCCGCCATTTCATTTTTTTTAATTCTTATTTGTATAGGACTACCGTAAAGAAATATTTAAAGTAATTTTTTCCACGTGGCTACGTGTCAAAATGAATTTTCATTCTTTCTTTTCTATTAAGATTTGCTAGATTAAAGAACTTCATGTACATGTTTCTTCTAATACTATAAGTAGCTGTTTTAATAGGATAAATATTACAAACGTAGTTTACATAGTTATAACGAAAAGCACAAATCTGAAAATTTAACAATAGTGTATTTTATAAACGTCTTTTTTTATTTTAAAAAAGTCATCTGAATGATGGTCTTCCCTTACATGCTCATACCACGAAACACATTTTCATATCATCAGTTTGCAGGCTTAGCTAATTAATTAATCGCGTACTTATTTAATAAAAGATATTTATAAAAAAGTAATAGTTAAAAACTAGCTTTGTATTTAACATACATGATTCTCAAGCTAAAGTGGTCCCAACGTAGGTCTATACATAGAAGAAATATTGTACAAAAAGAGCTCTCACCAAGAAGTTTTGGTACGAGGATTACTGAGGCATAATACGCTACCGTGAACAATCTCGATTTTAAACTTCTAGTAAAAACTTTGAAAAAAAATTACAACATTCACTTACAATATTCTCTATACAAAATAAACGCTTACAAAAATATGCGATCGCAAAAACTCCGGGACGGTGAATAAAATCGCATAATAAAGGAATACGTTTTTCTGTCACTGTCTCGAGAATTCCGATCTACATGAAAAGATTAACCAATAAGTTTTTTGTTCGAAGTTATATATTTTTTGTGGTATTACCAAGTTCAAGGTTATTAAAGCAATTTTTCTTTTCATTTAGATTCCGATCCGCAGTTTTAGAAGGGGTTGGTGATAGAATTTAGTTTTAAACTGAGTTTGATAAAATAAAAAAGAAACTACTTGACACAAAAAAGATAACTAGGTATTGACAACGCAAAAAAATTGATTACTTATGTCTTTTTTATGAATAAACTACAAAAGAATAAAGCAGGTAATAATAATTCAACAATTATTTATGTGATTAGTGGATTAAAAAATTATGTCAATTTCAAATCGTTCAACGCAGTGTTGTTTGTAAAATGAATTTTTTTTAGTTGACAAATTAAATAATCATATTAAAAAACTTTCATGCATTAAACATAAAAAAAAATGTTTTCTCGTTAGCACACTTACCAACTAAGCCATTTTTTTTATTTGTTTATATCATATTTTTATTTGCAGTTTTAATTGAGATTTACAAGCTCTTAAATTTTGTAAAAGACTTTTTATAATACAAATTTTCTATTTAGAGTGTCTTAATCATATACTTACAACGTGTTTCCTTCCATGGGTGCAGTAATAAGGAATTATGAAACGACCCTGATGATTTTTTTTCACACCAAATGTTTTTGCGTAATACCTTTTACAAAAAAGATCTACAGATTCATACAGCCTGCATGAACAGGTTTCGAATAGGCTTAACCTGTATGAGATTTTATGGTCAAATTCAGACAGCTAAAGGAACCACGTTGTATAGATAAAGCATAATTACAATTTGTGCCTTTGCTCCTATTCTGTATTAAAATTCAAATGTACTTTTATAATAATTTAGTCTCGTAATCTATACTATCAATGATATGCTGTGCGAGTGTATTGTATGTGTGTCATCTCATTTAGAAATTCGATTTATCGTGCTTTTTAGAATACTGTCTTCTGACATATAAGATACTGTCTAAATATTATATATCTGTTTTGTTTGTGAAATAAATGTTCTATTTTCTGTGCAAATATTATCGAATATTGCTTAGTATTAGCTGATATTAGAAACGTGTTTAGTATTATTTCTTACCTTTAGTTATCTATTAAGTAATTATTTTTAAATGTTACACAATATACTAGTAGGATTAATTTTTATTCGTTAACAATCGATTTTGTTAAAAATATGTGTCTACAAGTCTATCATAGCTAGCCCATCGTGAATTGTAAAAATTAGGTAATTATAAGATGTTCAATGATCTGTTCAACATTGTGTAAAAACATTGTTGTGTTGACGACGAAGTACAGTGAAAAAAAAAATTATGTTACGTGTTAAGTATTCGCATTAATACGTTAAAACGCTCAATTTTGTATAGTTACAATGAAGTACTGAGTAAAATTACCAGCTTAATTCAAATTCTTCGACTTCAAACTACTTTTAAACGAAGTAAGGTACTCGTATGTGGTGAATTATTACTTGGGGACAGTTATATGTATGAAGAACCCTTTTAGAAGTCCGTCTCTTACGTCACGAAAAATGTTTTAGAGTTCACAAATCAATTTTAAAATTAATTTATTGTATTAATAATAAGAACGGGCTATTACAAAATAGTATTAGAGTTTTAAAAAGAACTCAATAAACACGCGTTGAGCTTCGATGACCTAGTGAGAATACTAGGTCATAATCATAAAATTATTGTATTGTGATTGGTTCTTATAAGTCTACAAAATTTCAGACGTCTGGAAGTGGGTGCAAATTGAGTTATAAAAATCTATTACATTCACACATACATACATAGACACACACACACACATACAGGCCAAGCTAATATAAAGCGCGTAATAATGTTTCTTATAATTTTGCAACACTATGATAAATTAGACATAACTTGATATTTGAAATATTAAGGTTGTTTCACATTTGTGCTATTTGCAACTTTGTAATATGCGCTAAGCGAGCTCATCTGCCTTGTATTTATATGCAGTATCAAAATATTACATATATCACGCGTTGTGTGTTTGACAAAATGTTTATTCTCATGTTACAGTGTTCGATTTGTTGATGGTTAGCGAATAAATATACTTATTATGATGTAACAGAAGTGGTTTTATTTCATTTCTCTTAACTGTTTCATTAGTCCTTTATTAGTTCACGGCTGGAAATGGGCCTCTTCCCGTATATGAACGGATTTTTTTCTCTTTGGTAGTCCAAGGATATTATAATATCTGGTATTATAGATACGAGATGGTTACAACTATTTTCAAGGCCATAAGAGCTGCGCCATTCACACAATCTCCTTTTGCGATGCCCAGAGGGTCAAATAGAGTGAGAGAACCTTTTTATTTATTGTACTTTATCAACAAGTATGCCTTGAAATCCGATTGGGAATTTTGGCACGATATTACCTACTTCTGCCGCCAATTCGCAGAGCACTCTCTGCTATGC